TTTCCGTTGTGAATGCAGCAGCTTTCTGCAATGCGTTTTTAACTCTTTTTTTCCACCGTTTGTTTGCTTTAATCTGCAGAGGAGGAGTGGGGAACTACCCGAGCCAGTCTCAAAGCCCCTGTTTTACGGCTGACGCGAGGAGGCTACAGAAAACATCCTTATGGCAGATACTAAAGGTGGTCCAGACCTCCAATTCTCAGCTATTTATATCTATTTTTTAAATCCATTATAAATGTTGTAACAGTTATTTTATTTTTGGCCCATCTTCTTCAGAAAGTAAAAAGAAAATCCCCACCCCCACCCCCATAAAGCGCATAAAGCAACAATTATTGCAGTATACTGATGTTTGAGCCTTTTTTTTAACAAAAGAGACACTTAACAGTTCTCATCCATATGCAGGAAGGTTGTTCTTGGCTGTTTAAATGCCCTTCATTCCAGCTCCCTCTGCCCTAAAACATTAATCTGCAGATTTATTCTTGTGGGATTTGCGTGACTAGTTGGTTTCCATTTAGTGTCTTTAATGTAGTGATTACTAAGGTTTAATAGCCAACCCCTGTTCACTGTGTTAAAGCAGGCAATCATAGAGACATAATTTGACTTAGAGAGCCTATCAAAACTCTGCTGCGTCTCTCTACTTGCTTTAATTGCTAAGGAGACTTCGGTGCCCCACATAATAGAGGCATTTTCGTGGTGTTGCGAAACATCCAGTGATGCCATGTCCGTTTTTATCCACCGTGACACGCTACTAGATGTGGAAAACAAGCAAAACTTTTTCTCATTTTAGTTGTGCCTGTTCTTCAAATACGAGTTTGTCTAGGGGGAAATTAGTTTTGCCCTCTTATGCGAGTATTTTTTTTTAAGTTATTCAAACCCTATTGGCATTTTTTTCCTAATTTGGAAAACGGCCCACAAAATCCAGCTTAGCTCTTTGTCAGTGACTTTACAGGCACGATGAGTCTTTAACCAGCCACAGCTACGGAGAAAATGTGTTCACTTTAAATTTGAAAAAGTCTTTTTTTTAAAAACTTCAACCTTTCTCCAGAGTTCACTGATTGGTGGCTGCTGTCTGGTTTAAATTACTTCATGGAGAAATTCAAACTGATTTCTTCAAGGCAATTTTTTTTCCACTTTTTTGATGATTTGGTTTAGTAAAAATAAAAACTGTTGCTTTTCTCTCACTTTATCTGAACAGAACTAATCTGCAACTTTGATTTGATTTGCAAAAACTATAACTAACCAACGGCAAGTCTAAACACTCCCCACAACACAAATAACATTAAATGCAACAAATGGAAACCTATCCTGAAGAAGAGTTGAAGACCTGAGTGCAGAGTGTCTAAATGACCTAAAATTTTCTTCTAAAAAAATGTTTAATGTTGAAATATCAGGCAAAATTACCCTAGGCCATGTTGTGACTTTAAATGATACAAAATGATGTGAGATCATGATCGTGCAAAACACAGTTTTGGTTGAAAGCAATGTACAGTGTGTAATTTCTAATGCGTGCTTTGTTCTGTGTGTAATCTGTATTTGTACATAAGGCATTTAATAAAAACAGCATAAACCTCCAACACAGTGTGTAAGACTTTCTAAATAGCAGCCTGTGAAGCATTAAATTGCTATTGTTCTGCAGTTTGTTAACGCGATACGTGACGCAATTCAAGCTTCTTGTTTCTAAAACCTAACATCTGCTTGCAGGTAACGGCTAACTCGTTTCATAAAGAAAACCCACCAACCTGTCCCAAATGAATCATTTGTAAAACACCGTATGTTATCCTTGAATATCTGATCACTTTCTTAAGAAACTAATAAATTTCTGTTCTTAATTCATTCTCTGAAGTTTTACATCATTAAACAGACACTGATTGACTCTGATATGGCGTTTAAAGAGGTAAGAAGTCCTCATATATTATCATAATAATGCCTTAAAAATTCTCAGCATTTGGAGCTTAAAGAAAAGCATGTGGGCAATACGGGATCTAGATGCTGGTATTTACCTTCTGATTGAATGTCATTGCTGAGGGGGGAAAACAACGGCCTCAGCAACTCATCAATGTCTCTGCTAACGCCTTTCTGCATTTCTGTCATTTCTGTCATTTAACCTGAGAAACCTGCTCTGTAACTTTCCGTTCTTTAAATATCGAAGCTGAGATCTATTTAGCAATTTGAATTCTCTTTTGTGATTAGTACACCTGAAGCCTGACTCTCATTAAGAGTGTAGATCACGGGACTCAAAGGAAGACTAAACACTAAGCAGGTAACCCTAATGATAATCCTAATCTAACCTCCACTTAAAAAAAAGTAAACCTGCCCGTTTTAACCCCAAATAAATGCACTGTTGAATTAAAATCCCTTCCCATCTCTAACTAGATCCACAAGGAATTCAGCTGTTATAAAAGAGAGAATAAATTTTAATAAAAAGACACTAAAATATTGTTCGGCAAACTAAACACCACATCGGTGGTATAAAAGTAATTCTAATAAAATGTCACTTTTATAATACCTTGAATTGGTTTACTTTTTTCACAGTGATGGAATGTAACAAGGCTTGTGTGTAAATATTGCATGCATGCATTCTATACTTGTGGACTAGCGATGATGCATAGGACCGATTCATTCTTTATAACGCTGATTTGTTCTTCTCCGTAGATAAGGAAACACACCGCGGTGTGTTTTGGTCAAAGAGGAGAGGAATGTAATAGGTGAGTGGAGACACTGTCACGACCTCAGTTGCAGAAATAATCAGTGATTCACACTTTTAACATGTAAATGGGGCATAATTGGGAGAGGATTAGAAAGTTTCTTCACTGGATTCCTTTCGCACATTCAGCAAAAACTCTAAATGCTAACTTGAAATCATAGGTGACACATTAAAACCACCTGAAAACTCATATATGTTGATGTCTGAATGTTCATTTTAACGTTAGCTCACTATCCACAGTATTATAAACCACATTATGTTTGTTTATATTTCTATGATTAAGAGCAATATTTTCTTGCGGCTGGCTGTGTCACACTTGAGGGATTGAAATATAATTTCCATCTCGTGGAATATTCTGATAGATTCTCTATTAATGCTCGTTTACATTAGCTGTAAGTGTGAGAGCTTTCACAGGTCTGACAGCTCATTAAGAACACAATAAAGCACAGACATGCAATTAAAATAATGGAAACAAAAGATGTATAGGAAGCAGAATCTAACTAAAACTGCAATATAATTAGAAATAATTAATCATCTGATTAGAAGAATGGTAGAGTACTGACTGTATGAGATTGGCTCAGAGTGAAGTATTTGCGCTGCGCAAGGCGAGATGTTAAGGTCAATTGTATGTGCAGAAATGAGGGGGGAGGTTTTGGAGTTGCAGAAAGCAACGTGTGTGTTATTGCAAAGATTATATGCTGTCAGTCTTGCGTGCTTTTGTCTCAGCTGGACCCGTTATTGCACATTTCCTTTCTGCTGTTCAGTAATGCTCTTATTGTATCTCTGTGTGCATTTTTCACTTCAGTTTTTGTTTTATTACTCTGCAAATACAGTTCCGCTTAATCCCTATGGTCAGATACCTGCTGACTTATTCATAACTCGTCCACTTCTATTGACTTTTTTCAATAGAAGGGTGCGTTTTGTAACACCCGTGCATGTCATGCATAACAAGATATATGCACCTTGTGAGATGTAGCATCAGTAGTTGTTTATATTAGTGCTGAATCGTTGAGAATAGAATCGAGAGTTTTCACCTCTCACACTACAATCATTTTTGATTATGCATTTCCACAATAATACACACACAGCTTATTACAGCTGTAGCATTTACTAATTATTAACATTGCTTTATCTAAGACCTTCATCGCAACAGTTGCACATACCGTTATGAATGTCATTCATTCATCCATCCGTCCAAGGGCAAAAGTCCCCACTGGGAAAAAATACTGCTTTTAATCAAGGACAAAAACTGTTTCTATTAGTCTCTAATTCTTTTTACCATTATTATTATTATTATCATTATTATTATTATTATTATACCCAACCAGTTTATTACGTACACCTTTTCAACTGCTCATTAACACAAATATCTAATCACAGCCAAATGGCAGATACCCAGTGCATTTAGGTGTTTAAGCACGGTCAAGAACCTGCTGAACACAAGCATGTCGAGGGTTTAAATGGTCCGGTAAATAGAAAATATCCAATGAGCAGCACATCTCTGGGCGAAAATGCTCAGAGCCGATAGAAAGACTAGACTAACTTAAATAACCAAGTAACCGAATAACCAAGGTTTGCAGAAGAGCATCTCTTATTTTACATGTCAAACTTCAAAGCAGATGTGCTACAACAGCAGAAGACCACACTGGGTTCCTCGCCTGTCAGCAAAAAACAGGAAACTGAGGCTACAGTTCACTCAAAACTGGACAGTAAACAATGGTGAGACAAGTCTCGATTTGTGCTGTAACTTCCAGATGGTAGGGTCAGAATTTGGTGTAAACATGAATGGATCCGGTTACCTTGTATCATAGGTAATGGTATGGAGAATAGTTTCTTGGCACTCTTTGGGGACTTTAGTGCCAACTGGGCATTATTTAAACACCACAGCCTACCGGAGTATTGTTGCTGATCCCTTTATGACCACAGTGTACCCATCATCTGATGTGTCATGTCACAGAGCTCAAACTGGTTTCTTGAACAAGTCAATCAGTTCATTGTACCCACAATGCCCCCACATTTACTACATGTCAAAACAATAGAGCACCTTTGGGATGAGGTGGAATATGAGATTCACATTGTGGATGTGCATCTTTCCATTATGGACATATATATAACCTATAGACGGGGGTAAGAACTGCTTTTGAGCAAGCCTCTTCAAGAAGCCATTCAAACATACCTCACACTACCACACTGACATTGTCCTACATTTCTGACAAAAGTCATGTACTGTAAAATTAAGACACAATCATAATTGTTGCATTGTCATTGTTTACTCTTCTCCAGAGCAGAAGAAATTGAAAACGGCTCCTACAGACCTGAAGATTACACTTTGTCATCAAGCAAGTTCAGGTCCTTCACTGGCCGGGGAAGTATCTAGGTAGGTACGCAGTGTCGTCCTCCATAAATCACCTGACAAAACAGCTATATAATGCCTCCCTAAGCAATAAGGTGAAAATGTTTACTTGGGGAACATATATAAAGAATGTTTGTGTCAACATAATGCAATATTCACAAGATGTCGTCAATTTGTACGTCACCAGTAGCATTGTCACACAGGATATTTTCCAAGGTTATTTTCACAGTGTAATATTGTAGGCTAGCAGTGAGCCGCAGCACTGTGCGTCTTATTAAATGAACCCACAGAAAACAGCATTTTCATTGAAAACATTTCAGCGATACTGCAGTTAATTAAAAGGATTACATGTGATTGTTCAGTTTTTCTTTGAACAAGTGCAGGGGTTAAATGACTGCTATGAATAAATTATAGATTAAATAGCTGAAGTTTGATTTTTATACTTGCAGTATGAATCGAAAATAGTTTCAGTAGTACTTTTCCTCTTAAAACTAGCTCTCCTGTTTATCTGCACCTATGAGTTGGAAGTAATCATTGCTGCTGGAAACTCTGTGCATCTCAGTGATGTTCATGCCCCCTTTGCCAGAAGCGCTTTCGGATCCATTTTCATAACAAGCCTGCCGCCAGCTCAAGACCAGCCAAGAGATGAAATCCCAAAGCCTGCTATGGATGTTGATGTATTTCTTAAAATGAATGCCGCTAATAAAACTGCTCCCACACTGAGATTACAAAAGGGATCTTTTTAAATGAGTCATTATTCATTGTGACTTTTTTTTTCTTTGCACAAAGAATTAAACTCATGAAGACTTTGCAGTTGTCTTTGCATCTCCTCAGATGCCATTAGTCCACGCACGTATCCATGGTGATTCTTGTACATTGCGCAGACCTTTGCTGCAGCCTCAGGCACTATAAAAACCAGCAGCTGGTTTTTTCTCTCTTTTTTTTTTATAGCAAAAATGTTTATGCAGCCTCAATACTCCTAATAGAATACACAAAAGCCGAATCAGTAAAGATTCTCTTGGATTTTCATCTTTGCTGATGAAAAAGTAAAGATCATTTCTTTCCTCTGTTTGTTGTACACAGAAATAAGTTTGGACTTGGAGAGAAGGGATGATGCAACATGATGGAAAGAGATTACAGATCACAAATAGGTAAGGAGATACTGGTAACTATGATCATTTACTTTGCTCTTTTTTTAACCTTTTCGTTCATATTTATTCATCAAGAGGTGATCTGATTTATATTTAAAAGGAAATTCTCACACGCTGGTAAATCTTTCTCCAGTTTTGCAGGTATAGCAGGAAACTTTTATTAACACAAACTTTTATGGCTAACCTGCTTTAACTGTGTTAAAGCAGGTTAGCCATAATTTCTGTGAGGAATCATCAAGTGATTGTTTTGATATTACTTCTTCATTATAGTTCCCGTTGGCCTGTGTAGTTGTTTATAACAGATGAGGTAGCGCTGTTAAAATCTGGCATCAGTAACAATGGCCAAAACACTCTAAAAGTAAAACACTCACTGCAATGAAGCTTTTTTAACACAAGTTAGCTGAAAGCAGGTCTGTGAGAAAATGGAGTTATAAAGCACTTTTTTTAGCTTACCTAAGCACAAAAAGAAGAATTTTGTCCAGCCAAGAAATGATATTGATACATAAAACCTACTAAATACTATAAAACCATTATGGATTTGTATGTTTTTTGTGCAGATTAAGCAAATTAACTGATGAACTGCAGACAAAACCAGACTGGCTGTTCTGTCCTGTGTCCCATCTTTATTGTTTGAATTGTATGATATTGTATTTATTTCTTATACAGACCTAAATAAATAGATATAGTAGACAGAATACAGCTAGAAGGTAAGTTTGTTTTCTATCATTCCCAAGCGGTGTACAAAGTCACACTCTGGAAGTGTCATCACTGACTTGGTAATCAGACAGGAAAATAAGTATAAATATAAATGATAGAAAATAGTCCTTGCACAGCTTGAAGTTATATCAACACATTCTGCAGTCGTGTAATGATACCATCTGCTTATGGGTTCAGACTGGCTGTGAGAGAGACGGAGACATTCACAGACATGCAACATGCTGCAGGCTAGTCGCTAATTCTGTAAAGCAGCTGTGCAAGCAAACGATGGCTTCACACTCTTTATTGACAGCTCTCGTGCTCACTTTCTTATTTTCTCAAGTAATTGCACCTATTTGTTTTTAACAAGACAATAAAAAGCTCATTTGAAAAGGTCTAGGTGAGAGAGAAGAGGTCTACCTCTTTCCATATCCATCTCAAGGACGAGCTGATTGTCTCCGGCTAAAAGCTGCGTCTCTATACAAAACATCACCCAGGATGTCAGACGCGTGTTGACAGATTATAACTGGGGGATTCATAAAGAGACAGCCAGTGGATGGAGGCGAATTACCGCACTGCATTTGATGCACATCCAGCCAAAATGTCAGACTCGGGGCTCAAAGGCTCTCCGCATAAACAAACAAACAGCTACACACCAAGGACACAAGTGTCATCTGTCATACAAATCAGAATCCATTCACACGACACGACTACATGTTTGTCACATGAATAGCTCCATTCATTGATGTATAGAAAGAAAAGAATCATTTGACGTTTTGGGAAACATTCATTCATATTTCAGAGTCTGATAAAGAGGGTCCATGCCACACAGGCAGAAAATGGTTAACTTAGTCTATTTCTTCATTAATTCTGCAAGCTATCTATATCTCTATCTATGTAACTCAATCTACTAGTGAGCTTCAGAAGACCTTCCTCCCTGATTTTCAGGTTGATTGACTAGGATTGACTGGGAAAATCCAGTTTTTATTCTAGGCTTTATAATTAGAGTAGCAGCACAACCATAGTGTCAATCTTCTCATCCAATTCTTGCCAAGAAAGTAGAATATTACAAAAAAGCAAACCTGTAAAATGCTTTTCAACTATTTACTTTTATCAGTTTTTTTTTTTTTCCAGCAGTACACAAGTCCATTTACCTCTGCTCTATTTGTGTTACAGGTTGCTGTGCACTAAGAAGACAGCAGGTCACACTCCTGGTGGACAATATTTTTTTTTAATGTTTTTATGTGTGCTTACGCCCTTAGACTACATGTGTATTATATATACAGACTTTTATTTATTTATTTAGTTTTGACCTGTAAAAATCTCCCAAGGTTAGAAAACTAGGATTCCTGTTTTTGGAGCTGAAAAGTCCCATTCATTTATTTTTGATATTTGAAATGCACTTTTGGCGTAATGTCACTTCTGTTCAGTATTCTTTTATTTTGCTGTGGCCTAAAGTGAAAATATATATATTTTTTTTTTTTTAAAAGTCTCAACATGACTGCACCTTATTTTATTTAAAGGTGCTGTCATTTGGTGGCTGTTGTCATTACCAACCTGAGTGCACCCTGTGTCTGTTCCCAGCTCTCTAATAAATGCTTCAGTTAGGGCTGCCAACACGAACATGTTAGTTCATTAAATAAGTCGAGCCCACTGCTGGCATTCTGGCCAAGTGTCAAAGCTACTTTACGGGCCCGACCCGTCACTGCCTCCACAATACACTCCAGCAGCCAGTCACAGCTCACCTCTTGTCATTTTCAAAGTGGTAGTCATAATGAACGGTGCTGTCTCCAGCTCTACATATGGGTCACGGTGATTAACGCTTGAGATTGATAGAAGCAATACAAGCTCCCTACAATTCAAATAAATGTTCACGACTGTCTTCTTTCTGGATTTGTGTGTTCGTATTTGATTTACAAAACAATAAATCGATTGTCTCATAAACCAGTCGCACCAAACCTTCTCGCGATGTGTTCAAGTCAAACAGCTCACAGGTTTAACGACTCAAATTTGACGCGGGTGTTCGTCTTTGTGTTATCTTTTCGGGTGGAAAGGGGTGTTGTGAATCCGCTCAGATGAACAGCAGACTTGTTTCGTCAAAATATCCACCACCACCACCCCTCATTCTGACATTTGTTTAATTCATTCGCTCGATGACATAGACTCCACAGAGTCAGTCAGACAGCATGGCATTTATCTTCCTGAAAAAAATCACTTGATCTAAATATCGGAAACACAAAGACACCAAAGTGGGTCAGGATCTAGGCGAGTACCCAGAAATGTTCAATGATGCAAAACAGAGCATGGTGATAATTCTCACACGCACAGCATTTCCTCTATCCAAGAACGGCTACCTGAGCAAACTCCGCTTTGTTTAGACAGCTGGTTTGATGAGCCAGAATAGAAAAGGAGGGCTTATAATCACCAGAGTCTAAAAGAGCCTCCTCACCAGTGTAGTGCTTGTGATGAAATGGTGTGCAGAGTTAGAGCCCTGGATGTGTTTTGATCATTTTCATGTTGTTTCTCTGGCCTTGCGACAGCAGGCTGGGATCCAGGTGACAGTAGGTGTGTGCTACTGTAAGACGACTACCATAGCTGATCTTAGCTTCCTTCTAGCACCAAAGCCCGCCCCCTTAACTCATTAGAGCTGCAGTAATTTTAGAAAGATGATGAGCTTTGACATATTATGTTGCACTATGCACATGGATCAACTAAGGAGGAAGTGAACTGAACTGCTCTTCCACACCTTCATAAATACAGTATAGTGCCGGCTGAATTCACCGCAGTGTATATTAAATAATAAAGGCTTCCATTATAAAAGGAATAAAGCAACACAAGAAGTGCCTCTAAAAAAAATTAATTTTCTAAGTAAATTTTGGATCCCATCGGAATTTGCTCGAGTCTCTTTCTATTAAAAATAAAACCAGTTCTCACTGAATAATGTCTTAAAGCAAACACTGATGTCTGCATCTGTTCCCAGTGAGTGTTTTTAATGCATAATGTAGACAGCTGTAAGCTTCTGCATACATCTCCTGTTTAAGATCACAAATATTTATGTAAAAATATCTAATATTTCCTTGGCAACTGAGCTGCTGCAGACCACAAACACATATAGTGGATAAACGGGATAAATTGTGCCTGAATATGGCGCGTGGTCTAATGATGGCAGGTGATTCATATCTCGTGTCTTTTACTAGAAACAGATATGCTTTGTGTTTAACATCCAGTCTGAATTAGTGCAGTTTTACTAATACAGATGGATATTTCCTGTCATCCTGTATTAAAAAGTCAGTGCTTTGATTCTGCCCTGCGAGCTTGTGTAAATATGTGATATTTCGCCTTTTCACTTATCTGAAAGGGAGCTTCAGGTTAACCCTCAGCTGTTGCTTATTATCCCGATCTGCTGTATTCTTTCCAATCTCATTCACTGCTGCTTGTTACAGCATGAATATATAACCATTAGATATTCTTTTATACATGGTGTAGATTTTATTGGAGTTTTTCTCATTAAAGGTGGGCTATTCTAGTCTTAAAAACCCAAAAGTCCAATTAGCTGACAGACTACTCAAGATTGTAAAAAATGAAGCCACAGCAGGTATCTTTTTTTTTTCTCCCAGCTCTTTAATATTGCGCATACACCCATGGGTAACACTGTTGGATAAATGCTTCCAACAGGCAACACTGTAATGTAGCTGTCAGGATTCAGAGTCACAGATGTCCCCAATGAAACCCTTTTGTTTTGCCTTCATTGTGTTTTCTTTCGCAGCTTTGGAAATAACACACAGTTGTTCATTTTGATCTGGATGGCAAAAGTAAACAACAACTATTGCTCGGAGGGCAAGGTGATTCATGAGGCCCACATAAAAACAGCCAACAATTGATTCAGCCGTTGATGCAGTCAAAGTCATGTTTGAGTCTTTTTGTCCCTGGGTGTTTTAATGGAGAGCACATGACAAGTCTGCACTTCCTACAGGGAACTCTTTACAGCCACACAAGGAAAATTAGATGTGCCACATCTCAGGAAAGGGCGTTCAGTGATGGCTTCAGCTAATGCTAAAAGTTTATATGTCTCAACACTGAGCTGACAATTAGTGTGTGCAGTACGAGCATGCTCATAATCACTCCGAACTAAATGTTGTTTTTGTAGGTCCATGCATATTAAATCCCCTGCATAACCTAAACATAACATATATACACACATATTCTGTTAGCACGTGTCCAACGTGGAGAAAATGTGGTAAAAGATGATCAATTATGTAACTTATTGAATCAAAAAATAATAATGCTGCTAGTTAAAATGCGGGGTACAAAAGCCAGCCAGTTGGTAAAATAAATTACAATTTCTGTGCTAATAGAATTTATTCATACGTTTCTCTTTCCCTTGCCTCGTTTTGCTTTTTAGTGAGCTCGCTTAATTTGCTCTTGGCAAGAAGTTGATTCTAATTTCCTATAGGAAATTAGAATAAGCACATATGCATGTATAGAGCAAAGCCTGCAAACTCGGGAGGCAAAGAGCAGTACTGATTCATAGATATGTGGCCTCACATCATATATCAAACGCACTCTCTCCATGAATATTGTCTGCATAAGCTGCAAAATGTCATGTTAAATTTACTGCCCTCCACCACTCCAGTAAACATCCACCTGTAGGAGCCATACGTACTCACCACTCCCCAGCTACTGTAGGTTAATGCATCTCAAAGCAATAAAATGCTGTGGAAAAATTCATTCTTTTCATAACCTTACCATTAAATGACTGAAGACCATGCTATCACTGTGCTTAATTGGCCAAACAAAACCCAGTGATACATTATGGGGGTTCAGGTCACACTGGGTTATTGCTATAGAAGGTTCAGACAAGCTGAAGGCCATTATCAAAGGAAGGCTAAAGTAACACCTTCATGCCACACCATGGTGATGCAGTAAGTTGTGGCACAGGAGCCCTGATCAAGTTCTGAGTGTATAAATGAACTTACATTTCAGAATTTAGAAATTTCTGTATCGTGTAGCATTTATTTTTCATTGATCTCTCTGAGTTTCATGAGCTATAAGCCAGAATCTGCATTTATGCAGGCAGACACGTTCACAATGACCTGATGAAGTGGCACAGTTGTTGTTAGCAGATGGACTGGTCTGAGTATTTTAGAAAGTTCTGATCTACTGGGATTTTTCCACATAACCATCTCTAGGGTTCAGAGAGAATGGTCTGAAAAAGAGAAAATATCCACTGGGCAGCAGTTCTATGCGTGAAAATGCCTTGCCAATGCTAAAGATCAGAGGATAACGGTCAGACTGATTCAAGCTGATAGGAAGGCAACATTAAATCAAATAACCACTTTTACAACCAGGGTATGCAGATGAGCATCTCTGAACACACCAAACCATGAAAGCACATGAACTACAGCAGCAGCAGGCAACTGTGGGTGATACTCGTGTCAGCCAAGAACAGGAAACCGAGGCTACAATTTGCAAAACTGGACAACAGAAGATTGGAAAAACATTGACTATTAAGCCTATTGACTACTGAATCTCGATTTCTGCTATGACATTCAGATTGCAGGGTCAGAATTTGGCGTAAACAACGTGAAAGCTTTTACTATCAGCGTCTTTTAAAAGCCACAACCTACCTGAGAATTGTTGCTGACCATGTTCATCCCTTTATCACCACATCTGGAGCCATCATCTGATGGCTCCAGCGGGATAACTCACCATGTCACAAAGCTCAGGTATTCTCAAACCGGTTCCTTCAGCAAATGCCCTCCACAGTCATCAGATCTTAATCCAACAGGGCACCTTTGGAGTTCATTTAATGAATGTGCCTCTGACATATTTGCAGCACTTATGTGATGCTTTCATGTCAGCATGGACCAACGTCTCTCATGAATGTTTCCAGCACCTTGTTGAAAGAATTAATGCAGCTCTGACAGCAAATATAGTACATACACCCACCAGTCACTAACAATGTGATATTTTTTAATTGTCTGTTAACTATATAGGCTTACTTAGGCCTCTATGTAACCAAAGGTTAATTTTAATATAATCACAGACAGAAACAACATTCCCAAGTCACAGTTAAGGCATTACTGAATTATCCCTTCACTGCTGCATTTCTTTACTAAAATGCTCTGAGGGTTGCTGCAGCAAGCTGATGAAATCGATTACAAGCTTACATTGACTTCACCTTATCAGCGAGGGAACCCTCGGGGAAGTATTAGCACTTTGTCTCAGTGAATGTTTTTCACATCATTTTCAGGATCGAAGAAAAGCCAACTATACGGGAACTTCACACAGAGCCTCTCTGGCATTTTGAATTAACATTTCTCTTAGTTTTTCTCCGCAGACTTACTTTTCAACCATGATGTGTGAATGGCAAGGAAATGTTAACAGGCCTTTAA